ACTCCAGTGTATATTTTCTAAGAACTAGAACATTCACTTACATAAACCACGGGTGTGTGTGTGTGTTTAAATATAATAGAATCAGAGCAGCTGGGGAGAACTTGAAGAGGTCATTTGGCTCCTTCCCAGGCTTCTTGCAGGTAAATTCCTACAGTAAATAGCCGTTTTCCAGGAATGATAAACCCAGATTCCCCCAGGGGCCAGGGCTGTGACATGAATGTGAGAGGCACACAGGCTTGGACAGTTCTGAGGACGCGTACGAGTGGCCCCACCTAAATGAAGAGACCGATGCTATGCTGAACGTAACCTTATATGCTGGCCACATCTGTCCCTTGGGTCATCAGTTTTGAGCCCTGGATCTGTCTTCAAGGCTCCCATAGGGTGGAGCCTCCGGTTTTCTTTGGAAGCGTCTTGTTACAGTCAAGTTCGCCTGTAAGTCTCATGAAATCCTTGGCCAGGTTTCTGAGGGGCAGCGGCACTCAGGGGTGAAGAGGGTGGGGTCCAGCCTGTGTGTGGGAATCCCATGGCCATGTCTTACTAGGATAACGGGGAAGTTACCTACCCTTTCTGTGCTCCCATTTTCTTCATCGGTAGAATAATAGAAGGCGCCGTCCTCCCAGGGCTGTTGTCAAGAGTAAGTGGGTGAGAATATTTGAAGCGTTGAGAGCAGAGCCAAACCCTTGCGTGGCTGTGTGCGGCCATCGCTCCCCTGCAGCCTGCAGGTGGTAGCAGGGTGTGAGTGAGCTGCGGGGATGACTCCTTCTCCAAGTCCCAGAGGAGCTGTTGGTTCCGCCGTCCTGCTGTCCTGCCCCCTGGTCGGACCTGCAGCCTCAGCCCTCGGCCCCCCGGGGGGTCACTACTGGGATTGGCTGTATGTGGCCCCGGGCAAGTTATTGAATATCCCGGGGTTGTCTCCTTATCTGTGGAATGGAGAGAACGAGGCACCCCGCCTGCAAGGGGCCATTGCGGGGAGTAAAGGCGTCCATGGGGGCAGAGTTTGAGTGCAGAGAGTGCTGGCCAGGAGTTGTGGGTGCCCCTCTAGAGCTGCCACCTTCCCCTGCTGTGTTCTCTGTGCCTGCTACTCAAGTCCCCCCGCCCCCCGCCGCTGGCACCCTGCAGGCTTTCTGTCCCTCCCTCCCTACAGGTGCTGTTGCTGAGATCACCAGTGGCTTCTCTGTCCGGACCTGAGCTGCTGCTTCTTCTCTTAGGCTCTGGGAATGGTTTTAACAGTGAGGTCATCCTGTAAGCAGGGTCCGGGCCGGGGGCAGTTGAGGGGCAGAGAGGAGTGGAGAGGCTCACAGGCAGGACAGACTGAGTGGCAGAGAGCTAGGCGTGGCAGGTCTGCGGAGCATCTGGGCCTGGAGTGGACAGCAGGCAATGAGTAAGTTAGAACAAGGAGTAGTGAAGGAAGCGGAGGGAGCATGCTCGAAGGTGCTAAGGCACCTATCAGAATGTCTTCAACGTAAGGAAGGAAGATATCTGAATATTTTAGGGCAAGAGAGGAAGCAATTAGTAGAGGAGAGGATGAAGGTGCTGAGTGGGATGCAAGTGTGTCCAGAACAAGAACCAAGACCAAGGGGCTTAAGAGTACACTTATCGAGGAAGAAGAGGGAGACCCAGAGCGGGCTCGCTGTCTGCTATGTGAGGACACAGAGAAAGGTGGCCATCGCAAGCCAGGAAGAGGGTACCCACTAGACACTGAACCTGATGACGTCCTGGTCGTGGACTTGGCAGCCTCTGGAACTGTGTGCAGTCATGCCATGTTTTCATCCGCCCAGGCTGTGGTGTGTAGCTCTGCAGCCCGAGCTGCCCCAGCAGGTGGTAGGGGTGTCAGCTGTGGTGCCCAAACAGTCGGCGTCTGTTCTGGGAAGTAGGGGACAGGTCTGGGGGCTCTTCTGCTGAGATTAGGTGTGTCCACGGTGTGGAGCTTGAGGCAAGAGATGATAGATGGGTAGAGCGAGCAGGATAGAAAGTTAAGGGGCCCAGAATCTAGGATGGGGCAAATGGCCATTTTGAAGCGTTAACTAAGAATATTGAGCAGCTGCGTGTAGATGAATTAACTGCTAAACACAGCTCGAGGGCTAGTTTGTAGGGGTACAGGTGCGTTCTTGAGTTATTGTATTGTTCTTTAGGCCACTGTGGACTCGTCAGCCGAAGAAGCTTTGCCTTTTCCTCTTACATCAGTCAGGCCTTCATGTTTTAGGACTAGAGAGAAGGAAGTAGCTTGGTGCGTGAGGGGCATCAAGCGAGCTTTGTTTTCTGTGGTCTCCCTCAGCAAAGTGAGACAGTCTAGCTGGCGTCACTCAGGAGAGGCGAGGAGGGTGATAGGTCCTTCAAAGGGGAGCCGAAGGGGAGAGAGGAGAACTTTCTGGCTGAAAGGAAGGACCTGCCACCCTCTGATGCAGAGCAGCCTGCCGGCGGTGGCAGGACCTGGGGCGTGGGGGGTGCGTGGGTGGCTGTGTGCATACTGAGTGCTGAGCACCAGCCCTCCCATCTCCCCAGGAAGCCACCCCTCCTGAGCCACGCCCATCTGCATCCAAGCGCGCTCACCTCTCTCTGGTCCTACACAATCTTCCTTGACCCCATGTCCCCTCCAGACATCCCTTCCTCCCCTTCACTTCACACATCCATCCTCCTAAACCCAGTGCAATCAGATTTCTCCACCATCTTCGACGGCAGCTTCCCTCGTCAAAAAATCACCACCGATCTCCTTTCCTAAATCCAGTGGGCGTCTCTCAGAACTTACTCGATCTCTCAGCAGTCTGTGACACCAAGATGACGCCCACTCTTCCCCCTTGTCTTTCCTTAGCTCCCTTGACACGGCGCTCTGCGGATCTGTGGAGTTCTCGCCTAGCCCTCTGGCCCCTCTCCCTCGTGTCTAATGCAGGCCCTATTCCTTGGACCGCTGGGTCAGGGCCGGTCTCTGTAGAGTTCTTGCTGGACCCCTGGCTGTTCTCTTCCCGTCAGCACACTCTTCTCAGACCTTCTTCCCGCCCACGCCGTCTGGGGGTGGATCGTGCCCCACCCCCAGCTAGTGCCTTAGCCCTTCCCATGTCCTGGGTGTTGGCAGCGACAAAGGGCTCATTTCAATCTGGTTTACCGTTTCTTGGAGAGGCAAAGGGGATCGATTACCTTGCTGACACAGCACAAAGTCATTCTTCTTTTCTCTCTACGTACCTCTCTTCTCACAGGCTGACTCATGATGGCAGCTATTCCTAGCCATTTCCAGAAATAGGGGGTATTGGATTTATAATTTAAAATGTTCTAGTAACCATGTTTAAAAAAAGGTAAAAGAGAAACAAGTAAAATTAATTTTAACACTATGTTTTATGCAACCCCGTATGTCTAAAATATTTCATTTCAACATGTGTCAATTGAAAAATTATCCACGAGATATTTGACTTTTTTTTTTTTCTGTACTTGGTTTATTGAAATCCGTGTGTATTTTACACTTATAGCCTGTTTTCACTTGGGCTGGTCCCTTGCCCAGTGCTCAGTAGGACCATTGTCCCACATGCATGCCTGCAAGGGCTTCTGGTCCCCCCACCTCGCCCTGTGCCCCCCCAGCCCCATGCTCCCCCTCCCCACCCTCCCCATCGTGCAGGGTGACAGCCTTTCCTCGGGTCCCTCTGATTCTGGACTTCCTGTGGTTCTCTGATGCACATAGAGAGGCCTGGAAGGTTACGGAGGGGCTAAATCTGTGAATACTGACCAAATCATGTTTTGGTTCCTGCCTCATTAACTATCAGTTGTAACATATACAGCAGGAGTCTGATGTTACAATGATATATTTATTACAGTGGTGTTAGCCAGATTCATGGGACATCTTTAGGGACTTCTTGAAAGTATAGTCTTATAGAATGCTTCAGTGTCTAGCCCCACCATCATGTCCACGTCCTGCCTTCATGAGGGATGTGGGCTTTTAAAACAGTGCACAAGTATTAGGACTGAGGTGCTCGGGCAGGTAGGAAACAGGAAGACGTTACGTGTTAAGTTGGTCCTCATTTATTGTGAAGGAAAACCAATAAATGAAAGTTAATCCCATCCTCCACAGTTACTGACTTTCGGTTTTACTCTTGATATTCATCCTGCAACCTCTTTAAGTGAAGAACCTAGACATTCTTATTTAAAATGTTTTCTCAGTAAAATAGTGAGTAAATATAACACCACCGATATTATCCAGAATGGTAAAGAAATGAAATATTCTAGTGAAGTGAATATTTGTGAAATTAAGTACACATCCAAATACTACAACTTTAATTTTAATAATTTTGAGTGGAAATACTTAATAATCTATTACAAATCCTGTCTTAGCATCTAGAGAATACTGAATGTAATTCAGACTTTTCTTAGGTTATTTGCTGAATTAAATTACATTATTATGGGGGGGCAGGAGAGTAACTAATATCTATGGAGTGGCTACTCCGCCAAGAGCTATGCTTTTATTACGATAGTTCTTATATTTTACACTGAGGGTGTTCCCAGCCCCATTCTAAGTATTTGAAGGAAGACGCTATATTTTGCCCACCAGGTAGGCTTATGCAGTCGGAGATTAGCCCGCCCCGCCTCGCGCGGTGCAGAGCTGGGATCTGAACTCAAGCGAGCGGGCACTAGAGGCCACGTGAACTTCAGCACAAACCTCTGTCCCCCTTTTACAGATGCAGAAACTGAGGTGCAAAACAGTTAACTAACTTAAACTCGGCTAGTAAGTGGCTGACATTTCTTTTTCTTACTCCTCCGTCCTTTCCGTTTTCTAGAACTTTCTGGGTTTTGGCTCAGGCAGGGCTTGCGTTTGCTAATCAATGCAAACACTTCTTTCTCCCTTTGGTTCGCTTGTCTGCCTTTTCCTTTTCCTGGGAAGTATCTTCTATCCTCACAAGGCAGTACTTACTGAGTGACTTTGTTTGCTGGGCTACAACCACCCTGAAGTCCTTTAGAGAGACACCGCGCTTGCTTTTCAAAGTTTAAATTCTGAAACTATTGACCATTTTTTCCTGCAGAGAGATCGGAACAATTATCAGGTCGCTAGGGTGCTGCCCAAGTGAAGGAGAGCTCCATGACCTGATCGCAGAGGTAAGCGGGCTGGCAGCAGGGCTGTGTGCAGTGGGCTCTCTGCTCCCCCTGATCCTTGGATCTAAAAACCCTTAACTGCAACTGGGCATGTCCTAAACTAATGAATGTGCTTGATGAAGACACTGGGGCAGCTTTGCGGATTGGCCAGGCAACAGTTTGGAAACAATATCAGATCTGGAGGAAATGACTTTGACCAAGTAATGCAATGGCTCAAGTAAAGAGCCCACCTTAGATCTTATTTACACTCTTTGAAATTAATTGAAGAGGGCCCCTGGGTGGCTCAGTCCAGTTAAGCATCAGACTCTTGGTTTCAGCTCAGGTCATGATCTCAGGGTCGTGGGATCGAGCCCCACATTGGGCTCTGCTCTCAGTGGGGAGTCTGCTTGTCCCTCTCCCTCTGTTCCTCCCCTGCTCGAGCTTTCTCTCTCTCTCTCAAATAAATAAATAAATGAAACCTTTAAAAAAATAAAATTAGTTGGAGAAAGGCCATCAGATGCAGGGGACTGACTGTCTGCAGAGAGAACACTGACAGATGAAAGGAACGTAGTGAAGAATGTCAGTTCAGAGGGGATGGAAGGGGAAGTAGAGACTGTAAGAGATTTATATTTATTGAGGGGAAATAAAACTAACTTTCAGAAGAAATAGTACACATAATGAAATAATAAGAACTAACTTGATATTGACTGAATGGTCCAAGAATTTTAAAAATGGTTATTTGTAATATTGTAGAGGAGTCTCTGGAGAGAATTACCCCATAAAGCAGTGCTGAGTGGCCCGAGACCAGAGAGCTCCATGCCCTGTTTGGTTTTCCACAAAAGCATCTGGTCTAATGTCAAGTGCAGCTTTCAGTTCAACAAAGCAGAGGCCTGAAGGGAGCAAAGCTACCTGGGCCCCTACCAGGAGAAGAATCTGTTCAGAACTGCTGATCTAGGTGTGTGGGTTTTGGTGGAGGCCAGGCTTCGAGCAGGAGGAGACAGGAGGCAGGCAAGGAAGTAGGGGTTTAGTTGATTTTTGTGCCCAGCATGGCATTGGGGTGAGTCACCTAACCTCTGCACCAGTTTCTCCATGAGAATACCTACTTCAAAGGTAAATGAAGTAATGTATTAGAAGACATGTTTTGAATCCTAAAGCACTATATACAGTTAAGAAGTGGAAGATTGAAAAGACGACTCTGTTGCCCGCGTATTAGCATCTTGTAACTAAAAAGCAGGACTGGTTTTTCATTAGCATTCAAAAATATTCAGTAAAGCACAAAATCTTTACATTGTTTTTCTGTTTTGGGATCCAATAAAACTATTTTTACTCAGAGGAGAAAAATCTTATTTTTCCTGAGTTGGTCCTCACATTTTTTAAAAAAGGTGTTGATCACTACTTGACAGTGTTTATCGACAAAGCTAGAATTTGTGCTCGTGAAAGAGGAGAGTTGGCACCATGGAGCAGATAGGAACTGGAAGATGAACTTACAGTGAAATCATAATTACCACATATACTTCAGTAGAGTAGGTGGAAGAGAAAGGAAAAATGCCTCCAGAGGATAAAAAAGCAGAACCTTTAGAGCCTAATTCCTTTTGTCTGTTTTAATTAGCAAACCACAACCCATGGGCCAAACCCCGTCCACCACCTGTTTTTATAAATAAAGTTTTATTGGAACACAGCTAAACTCATTTATTTACATATTATCTCTGGCTGTGTTCTCACTGCAAGAGTGGATTGAGAGTCCTTGCAACAGAGAGCATATGGTTTGCAAAGCTTAAAATATTTACTGTCTGGTCCTTTGCAGAAAAAGTTTGCCAACTCTTCATCTGTAAGTTTCTGTGGCAAAGTAGAATAAATACCGCATCTTGGGTCAGGAGGTCTACATTCGAGGCCTGTAGCTACCACTTACAGTTATGTGGCCTTTCAAAGCCTGGTTCCACAGCCACAAAAGGAATGCAACAATAGTAAAGTGTACCTTTATGAGGATTAAATCTGATAACTCTGAGGATTCATGTGTTACTTGGGCACTCAACACATATTTGGGTTTGCTTGCTCTGTAGGTGGCTGTCTGCTGAAGCGACCCCACAGGTTTGCGCAGTTAATCACAGTAGATGCTTGGGTGCCAACGTTTTAATTTGTCTTTGCCCCTTTCTTAGATATACTGACACAACCTTTGAAAATTGTACATGTTTAGAGCAGTTGTACCAGTAGGGATCGCTGTGCTATCTAAGCCCTATACACATTTTTCTGTCCTTGTGCACAATTTATTCAAATTAAATTATAGCGATATGCATAAGAAGTTTTGGGTGTGACTCTCCTTTTTGTGGTTTCCCAAATAAGTGAGGGGAACAAAGCACATAGATAGTTGTAGGTATGGAATACATTTAGAAAATCAGAGCTCCAGTAGTAAAGCTCTAGGGGTGAATGTCCTATTGCTAAGTGCTCTGTAGTAGTTTCAGAAATGAAACGATTTCTGCCTTTTTTTTGCTTTAAAATGCAATAATGTGATAATGCTCTAAAATTCTTTGATAGGGGCGCCTGGGTGGCTCAGTTGTTAGGCGTCTGCCTTTGGCTTGGGTCGTGATCCCAGCATCCTGGGATTGAGCCCTGCATTGGGCTCCCTGCTCAGCCAGGAGCCTGCTTCTCCCTCTCCCTCTCCCACTCCTCCTGCTTGTGTTCCCTCTCTCGCCATCTCTCTGTCAAATAAATAAATAAATAAATAATAAAATAAAATTCTTCAATAAAACATCAAAACCTGTGTGCAGGTCTCTAGTTGCCATTTACTTGAGTTTTAGTCGAAGTACATACTGACTCTCAGCCCCTTGCTTCTGAAGAGAGATATGAGATCTGATGTTGCTCTTGAAATAGATCATTTAAAAATCGCTCGGCATTGATCCCTCTACTTCATATTCTACAATTACCAACTTGCCCCAAATAATCTCTGCACATTTGGAATATCACAAAACTCAACAATTGTGACAAAGGTTAATACCCAAATTTTATTGACATACAGGTTACCAAACAATTCTTCCTTTACTAAGAAGTTATATCCTTCCAGGATCTTCCATGTGGGAGCTGGGAGGACATGACAGCGTCTCAGTACCAGTTGGAAGGGCGTGGAGAGGTCGACAGCCTTTGAAGTTCAAACCTAAATGGAATTGTGGAGAACTTAAAATAATTAGTAAGGAGAGCTAAAAAAGCGTTTGGAAAATAAGACCTATGTTGGTGAGATTTTGACATTGTACAGTGATTTTTTTAAAAAGGTCAATTTATCTCTTCCCCTAAGTGGCCTGAGGTGACCTCTGAAAATGGTTCGCTATTCGCTTGACCCAGAAAACCCTACGAAATCATGTAAATCAAGAGGTTCAAATCTTCGTGTTCACTTTAAGAACGCACGTGAAACTGCCCAGGCCATCAAGGGTATGCATATCCAAAAACCCACCAAGCATCTGAAAGACATCACTTTACAGAAGCATTGTGTGCCATTCTGTCGCTATAGTGGTGGAGTTGGTAGGTGTGCCCAGGCCGAACAGTGGGGCTGGGCACAGGGTCGGTGGCCCAAGAAGAGTGCTGAATTTTTACTGCACATGCTTAAAAATGCAGAGAGTAATGCTGAACTTAAGGGTTTAGATGTTGATTCTCTGGTCATTGAGCACATCCAGGTGAACAAAATCCCCAAGATGTGGCATAGAACGTATAGGGCTCATGGTTGGATTAACCCACACATGAGCTCTCCCTGCCACATTGAGATGATCCTTACTGAAAAAGAGCAGATTGTTCCTAAATCAGAAGAGGAGGTTGCACAGAAGTAAAAGATATCCCAGAAGAAACTGAAGAAACAAAAACTTATGGTCCAGGAGTAAATTCTGCACAGAATAAATGCAAATAAAAATAAAAAGAGGGGAAAAAAAAGGTCAATTTATCAGAAAGGTATAAAAATTTTAAATGTCTGTGTACCTAATAACAGAGCTGCAATAGACATGAAACAAAAATGGACAGATGAGAGGCAGAAACAGACAATTCCATCATCATAGAAGGAACTTATAACAACCCTCTCTAAATAATTGATAGAACAACTACATAAAATATCAGCAAAGACATAGATGATCAACCATTAGTCACTCTGATCTAATTGATATTTATAGGACATACACCCACAAATGCAAAATACATGTTCTTTCCAAGTGTACAGGGAATATTCAATAGGATAGATTAAGTGCTGGGCCATAAAACAAGTCTCAGTAAATTTTTAAAAATTAAAATCATATAGGATATGTTCTTTGATTTTAAAAATGGAATTAAGGGGCGCCTGGGTGACTCAGTTAAGTGTCTGACTCTTGATCTCGGCTCAGGTCATGATCTCAAGTTCGTGAGATTAAGCTCCATGTCGGGCTCTGTGCTCAGTGTGAAGCCTGCTTAAGATTCTCTCTCCCTCTCCCTCTGTCTCTCCCCACTGCTCCTGCTCTCTCTCTTTCTCTAAAAAAAAGTAAATTAAAAAAATTAAAAAAGGAATTAAGTTAGCGATCAATTGAGAATAAGATAATTAGGAAATCCTCAAATACTTGAAATTAAGCAACCTCCTTCTAAATAATTCATGAATCAAAGAAGAAATCACAAGGGGAATTACAAAATATTTTGCCCTGAATGTTAATGAAAATACAGTATGTCAAACTTTGTGGGATACAGGTAAGCAGTGGTTAGACGCCAATTTACAACTTTAAATGTTTACACTGGAAAATAAAAAAAGACCTAAAATTAATTATCTAAATTCTCATCTTAACAAGCTGGAAAAAGAAGAGCAACAAAAACCCAGTATAAATGGAAGAACAAAATTATGAAGAGCAAAAATCAGTGAAATAGAAAATAGAGAAAATCACTAAAAGCAAAAAACTAGTCTTTTCAAATAAAATTGGATTAACCTCTAGCTAAGGTGATCAAGACAAATTACCAACATCAAGATTAAAGGAGGGTTTATCATTATCCTTCAGACATTTTAAAAGGATAATAAAGAACCTTATGCTAATAAACCTGGCAACTTAGATGAAATGGACAAATTCCCTGAGACACACAAATTACCAAAACTGACCCAAGAAAATCTGGAGAATTTGAATAGCCCTGTATCAATTATGAAAATTAAATTTATAATTAAAAACTTTCCCATAAAGAAAACTAGAAGTTCAGATGGCTTTGCTAGAGAATTCTCTCAAACATTATGGAAGAAATAATACCAATTCTACACAAAACTCTTTTTGGAAACGTCACAGGAGATAACACTTTCTAGGCCAGCATTACTCTGATATTCAAGCCAGACAATCCTATTACGAAAAAGAACAGAGCTTACTGACATAGATGTAAAAGTCCTTAATAAGATTTTACCAAATCAATTTCAACAACATGTTTAAAGGATAATACATCATGAGCAAGTGGAGTTTATCTCAGGAATTTAAGGTTGGCTCAACATCAATCAATGTACTTTATTATTTATTACATCAACAGAACAAAGTAGATGGACCATATGATCATTTCAGTAAATATAGGAAGAACATTTGAAAATATTCCATACCCATTGAAGAGAAAAATACTCAGCAAACGAAGAATAAAAGGAAACTTGTCAAGCCGGCCAAGGGCAGCTACTAAAATTCAAGGCTAAAATCATACTCATACTCAAATCATGAACGAGGCACAGATGCCTGCGTTCATCACTCCTATTCACCATTTACTTGAAGCCCCAGCTAGTACAATAAAGTAAGAAAAAATAATAAAAGATACGCAGTTTGGAAAAGAAAAAGTGAAACTCTTTCTGTTTCAGACAACATGATTTTTCATGTAGAAAATTCTAAGAGACTTACCAAAAAGCCACAAGAACTAATATGTGAATTTAGCCAGATCACAGGCTATATGGTCAACATGAAAAATTAATTTTATTTCTATAATTAGAAATCAACAATAAGAAAAATGAAATTAAGTAAACAACCCCACTAAAAAAGCTTAAAAATAGAATAATGAATAAATTTAACAAAATAAAGTCAAGACCTATACACCAAAAACAGCAAACACTATGAAGAGAAATTAAGAGTTAAATGGATAGATATACATGTTCATGGATTGCAAAATAACATTGTTAAGGGGGTAGTTCTTTGATTAATAGATTCAGTACATTTTCAATCAAAATTATAGCAGGATTTTTTGAAGAAATTTATGAGCTGATTCTGAAATTTGAATGGAAAAGCAAAGGAGCTAAAATAACCAAAATAATTTTGGAAAGGAAGGGCAAGGGTGGTCTTTTACTACCTGATTGCAAGATTTACCATGAAACCACAATAATCCTGACAAGTGTGATATTTGTGTACTGAGAGATCTATAGACCAATGGAACAAACTGGAGGATCCAGACATAGAACCATACATATATCTTTGACAGAGGTGCCAAAGTAATTCAATGAAGAAAGGATCATCATTTCAATAAATCGTGTGGGAGCAAATGGGTATCTGAATAGAAAGAAAACAAACTTCAGCACTCTTTTCCTCCACACAAAAAGGTTAACTTGAAGTGGACCGTAGACCTGAATAGATGAGCTAAAACTATAAACTTCTGGAAGAAGACAGAGAGAAAACCATGTGATGTTGGGTCAGCCAAACATTTCTTAGATAAGACAGAAAAAGCATGAACCATAAAAAAAAAAAAAGCACAACAAATAACGATTACCTTCATCAATATTAAAAAATTTTGCCCAAATGACACAGTTAAAAACAAACCAAGCAAATGCAGATCAGACTGAGGGAAAATATTTGCAAATAATTTATTTGACATTATATCCAGAATATATTAACATCTGTTTTAACTAATATTAGGAAGGCCATCAACCCAATTTTTAAACTGGCCAAAGATTTGAATAGACATTTCATAAAGGAAAATGTATTAATGGCCAACAAGCACATAAAAAATGATGAACATCTGTACCCGATGGGGAGCACGAAGTGTCACTACACATCCACGAGAATGGCTAAAATTTGAAATTCTGAAAATATTAAACACTGGCAAGGATTTAGAACAGCTATAATTCACACATTGCTGGTAGGAATATCACTTTGGAAAACTGTGCCAGTGTCTTATAAAGATAAACATACACTCATTATATGACCTGGCAATCCTATTGGTAACTATTTATCCAAGAAAAATGAAAGTCCATGTCCACACGAGATTTGTAACCAAATGTTCTTGATAGCACTAATCATAACAGCCCAAAATTGAAAATAACCTAAATGTCCATTGACTGGGGAATGGATAAATACTATGGACCACTACTCTACTCAGTGATAAAAAGGAACAAAATATGATACACACATGACATGGATGAATTTCAACAAGAACATGTTAAGCAAAAGAAGTCAAACATGGGACTTCCGAGGAAGATGGCAGAGTAGGAGGACCTTAAGCTCACCTCGTCTCACAGATACAACTAGATAACACACATATCCATGTAAAAAGCCCAGAAAATGACCCAAAGACTGGTAGAACAGACTCTCCCTAGCTAACCAGAGAGAAGAGGCAACATCCAAGAGGGTAGGAAGGAGGGAGACATGATCGAGAGCCAAGTGGAGCTGTGGGACTGACCCGGGGAAGGGAGGGATGTTTTGGGTGCAGAGAGGGAAGGGAGCAGACTCCCACCCTCGGGATCCTAGGCACAGAGGACCAGCACAGGGTCCAACATAACCACATAACATGTGGTTTTGGAAACCAGAGATTGTAAAATTGGACTTTAAAAAGATCCATTATATGTGTACTGACACTGAATCTTGCCTTCAGATGATAAACTGACCCCTTCTCACCACTTCCACACCCATCACCTTGGTCTAAGCCGCTGTCCCATCTCCCTGAACTACCATGGTGGCCTTTGAACTCTCTGCTCCTACGCTTGGTCCTCTGCAGTCTACTTGTCACATGACAGGCAAAAAGGATGCTTTTAAAAAAGGTTAAGTCAGAGCCCGCCACTCCACTGCTCAGAACCCTACTTCTGAGGTGCCCAACTCACTCAGGAAAAGAGCCCAAAGTACTGTTACCACAGCTGACAAGGCTCTAGGTGGTCAGGCCTGTCACTTCCTGCCATTGTCTCTGCTCACATATTGGCTTCCCTGCTGGTTCTGAGTATGTCCTGCATACTTCTACACAAAGTCTTTGTTCTTGCCCTTACCCGTGCTCTGGGCTGCTCTTCTTCCAAGTACCCACAGCACTTAGAGACCTGACGTTTAAATCTGGGCCAGAGTGAGTCCTGATGTGGCAAGAAAGCATCTCGGAGATGATGTTGCCATCCCGAACTGCCCCATGCCTCCCCGGTGTCTTAGGACTCTGTATCTTTGGAGGTTTGATACTAGGTGAGATCTCTCATTCTGGCGAATCTGATTTGACAATACAACCCTTTGTGTTTCGTCTGTGGTGTTCAACATAATCTGAAATTACTGATTTACTTCTGTCTTAAAACTCCCTTCTGTCATAAAAACACCTTGAAGGCAAGGTTTTATGCTTTGTACATCAGTGCATCCTTAGCACCGAGAACAAAGCCTGACATATTCTGGTTCGAGGAGCTGCTCTACTGTTTCCTGTGGGCTGAGCAATATTCTGGTTATAATTACGGTTCTTACACTGTCTCTTCTTGCTCTTGCAAAACCTAGTATCAGAATAGTGGAAAATTCAGGCTTGCAAAGCACTGCAGACATACTTGAGAGAAGAGTTTTACAATAGATCTGATTCATGGGCTCAAAAATTCCAAGTTTCCAGTAGTAAAAGTAATTAAAAACTATTGCAAGCTGGTAATCATTCATCTATCAAAAAATTATCAAGCATTTACCACATGCCAGGTACCAGGCATTCAGAGACACAAGAACACTGAAAAAACTCCATCCTAATTTGGCTCAAGATAGTTTCAAACACTTTAAAATTGTGAACATCAAAAATTTAAATACATAGGCATTTAAATATTTGAGATTGTGTTCAGTCCCATTCATTTAACTAAATGAAGAAACTCACCCACAAATGAATGTTCAGTTGCATTTTCTGTGGTCAATGATTTAATGTTAAATTAATAGTGGTGAGAAGCCTTTATGATTTCAACGTGTTCAATATTCCCTAGTAACCAGCTAAAACAATGTAATGATTCTACTGAGTCATTTCCTGCATTTTTCATCTTGGATGAAAAATATCATACCACACCAGACATACCACAAGCCCCAGAGGTCCCAAATCACAGTTTCTCATTATTTTTAATTGGTTAAGTATTCTCAGAAATTTTTATCTTTGAAACTTCAGAAATGGCTGTCTAGTTAGTAGGGTAAAATCTATATAATCCACACACTTGTAAAGTGGCCGTGTCCATCTGTCTGAACCATAACTGCATCATCCTGGTTCCAGATAAGCCCTGAGATGTCACAGCATTCAGAATCCAACTGTGCCAAGCTTCTCAGAGATTGGGAAAGGGTGAGGTAATTATGTTCTGGTTTTGAAGTAGCAGGTGATGTGAAACATTGTTGTCCGCTATTTTTCCTGAGCACCCTGGCATTGGAGAAGGTGGGAGAAGGTAGTAGATCTGTTCTAATTTGTGCTGATGTTAGATGCTGGAGTTAAAGAATTGTAGACTGATTGGGGCACCTGGGTGGCTCAGTCGGTTAGGCAGTGGACTCTTGATTTTGGCTCAAGTCATGATCTCAGGGTCCTGGGATCAAGCCCCGCCTCGGGCTCTGCGCATTCAGTAGGGAGTCTGCTTGTCCCTCTCCCTCTGCTCCTCCTCCTGCTCTCTCTCTCAAATAAATAAAATCTTTAAATATAAAAAAATAAAAAAGAGCCGTAGACAAAGAGGTACTTTGGAGATTACCTGGTGATGGCTACCAGCCATGACTTCCGAATGGAAATAGGTAAATGGGGGGAGGGGTGTTGAGGGGATTGTGTTGTACAAGGAAAATATCTGTAGTTAGAAGAAAAACACTAAATGGTGCTAAAGCAGCGATCAGCAGCAGGAAACAAAACCCAGGGAAATCTATAAAAGTGGTTTTCCCTCTCACATAAATACATAGTATTTATGAATAAATGCATTTCATAATTTTATATAAAACAGCCATAACAGGAGATTAATACAAGTTTTTATTTCAAATTTTTATTGTATATAAGAAATATAGGAAATTTTTAAAGAGATAGAGAAAAATCCTTTCCAATAATACATCACCTTAATATGACCATTGTAATATTTTAGTGCACTTCCTTCCATATTATTTTCCTGTGCATGTTTTCAACATGACTATAATCTTATAGTTAGTTTAGCTGGAACCCCTTGACTTCTTCCCCCCACAAGAGGATAAAATAGGGAAATTAATGGCTTGACAGCCACCAATTCCCTCATAGCTCCAAGGTGTAGAAACTCACAGTTGGAAGGGACATTATCAATTATCTGGTTTAGCCACCTGTTGGTTCTTAGCATCTCTGATGGTCTAGCTGAGAGATGATTCAAACTTTTTTTTTGATACTTATATTAATAAGGGACTTCTAACCTGAAAGAATCACATATCCTAATTTTTGTACAACAGCCTCTGCAATGTTTGTAGTAAATAAATTTTCTAAAGTAGGTGACTTTTTAAATTTTCCATTTGGGGGCGCCTGGGCGGCTCAGTTGGTTAAGCGTTGTACTCTTGATTTAGGCTCAGGTTATGAGCTCAGGGTCCTGGGATTGAGCCCCTCGTCGAGCTCCGCACTGAGTGTGGAACCTGCTTAAGATTCTCTTTCCCTCTCCCTCTGCCCCTCCTTGCTCATGCTTGCTCTCTCTCAAAAAAAAAAAAAAAAAAAGATTTTTCATTTGTAAAGGTAATTTTTTTTGGCAAATGCCAATGAATTTTTGTTATTATTTTATTCCATCCAAGGTAGAGAAGTATTTTCTAAATTGTCCTGTTTTCATTTTGAAACATGATTTATGTCAAAATTTGAATATGTTATTTAGAGTCTAACTTGAAATATCTCATAGCTTTTTTTTTTTTTTTTTTTTTTTACTACAAATAGTTAAAAAATGGTATGTATATCTTATTTGGTGACCTGGAACTAGTTGAAATGTAGGTGCTTTATAAACCATCTTAACTACTGATACTATCTTGCGTTTGTGAAGCATGAAATGGTTCAATTTATTGACTGAGGGTTGTGTCAGTGGGGAGAAATGAATTTTCACTGCGTGTTTTATTGCACCTACTCAGTGAGTTTGGCATTAAAATAAATAATGCTTTAATGAGAAAACGGTTGGCCTGATGATTTCACTGTGGGAATGGGGGTAAAGAACTCTGGGCCGTGGTCCTCTCAAAACACCTGACCCAATGACAGACAAGGTGGGCACTTCACCTCCAGTGCCCGATTCTGCAGAAGCAAAACAGATTGAGAAAATGGACTTTTGCCAAGGTGGAGTGAGAATCAGGCTTTGATTTTTAAAAATATTTTTAAAAAATCCCACACCGTATATATTTACTGAGCCTTCTTCATGCCGGGAAGAGGGGGCAGAGAGACTGGGGTGTCTGCGGGTGCTGCGGTGGCCTCCAGGACGGGCCCTTGGTGGGGCCGGGAAGCGGTGTGTTCCCTTCAGGCCGCCTGCTCCGCCCGGGTTCTCGGGAGGGAGCAGCCCGGCGGATCAGGACCCTGGTAGCCAGGCGAACAGCTGCCGGGAAGATGAATTCACTGTAAGTCGGGTACCTGAAGGCGGAGCTGGGGGGTCTTCCTGCAAAGTGGCTTATTATTTCTGCATTCCTAAATGCTGCCGAGGCTACTTGCCAATTGTTACCTCCTTTTCAGCACCTCATCCGTCCTCGTGGCTGAAGCAAACCAGAGTATAATGTACTTGCCTCATTCCTGTTGGCGGTAACAAGATCTATTGGTTGGCTTGGTTTTGTCTTTTGAACAGGAGGGGTGTGTTTGGTGGCCGGCTGGTACTCCCCGCTGTCGGATCAGTCAGTCCAAAGGGGCACGGAGGGAGGTGGCAGAGGGAGAGGTAGGGGGAGGCGGCGGAGGGAGAGGCGGAAAGAGGCGGAGGGGGAGGCGGCGGAGGGAGAGGCGGAAAGAGGCGGAGGGGGAGGCGGCGGAGGGAGAGGCGGAAAGAGACGGAGGAGGAGGCGGCGGAGGGAGAGGTAGGGGGAGGCGGCGGAGGGAGAGGTAGGGGGAGGCGGCGGAGGGAGAGGTAGGGGGAGGCGGCGGAGGGAGAGGCGGAAAGAGGCGGAGGGGGAGGCGGCGGAGGGAGAGGTAGGGGGAGGCGGCGGAGGGAGAGGCGGAAAGAGGCGGAGGGGGAGGCGGCGGAGGGAGAGGTAGGGGGAGGCGGCGGAGGGAGAGGCGGAAAGAGGCGGAGGGGGAGGCGGCGGAGGGAGAGGTAGGGGGAGGCGGCGGAGGGAGAGGTAGGGGGAGGCGGCGGAGGGAGAGGCGGAAAGAGGCGGAGGGGGAGGCGGCGGAGGGAGGCGGCGGAAGGGGAGGCAGAGGGAGGCGGCGGTGGAGGGGGAGGCGCACGCCCTGTCCTCCAGGCCAGGGGCGGGGCCAGGCACAGGGTTGTAGGGCGGCCCAGCAGTGGAGCACGTTCTCGCCACAAGCCGTGTGGCATTTACAGACACAAGTTAGGTCCATTTGGTGGGTCCGGGAGGCTGTGTTGGAGATTTCAGCACCAGAGATTGATTCTTTTGGGAGGAGGTGTCATTGCACGATAGAGAACCAGGTGTGTGTGCACTGTTGATAGAAATCATCATAATCATAAGAAGAGACTCACAGTTCACAGAACCTCATGTCATGTCTCATGTGAACCTCACAGCAGCTGTGTCGGGTAGACCTGCTACAGAGGAGGACGCCAGGGGGGCAGATTAGTCAGAATCTTTTATAAACTGTTCTTGGTCTAACATGCTGAATATATTGTGATATTTTTCCATGAGAAAGGCAACATCCATTTTTTGTAAAAAAAACCTCCCCAATACAGGGGAGAAGTGGGTTTTCCCACTATGGCTTTGCTCAGAGTGAAGAAATGGCCTTGAATTCCTAGTGTTTTCCAACATGTCCGCTGTTACCTGGGGGTCTTTCTTGAGTTCATTTGTTATAAGTTGGTTAATGGAATTTTTTCTTGGAGAAAGTAGATCTGGGCTGCATTATTTTCTCTGTATCAATTCTGTAAAATCAGTTCTGAATTTCGAATATCTGCTTTGTTAATCTCCAATTGGTAATTATAGGGACTTAAGCTTGATAGTGATTCAAAGTCTTTGGGTTACAATGGGTCGTGCATGCTTAGAATGTGTGTGTGTATAAATATATGTGTGTGTGTGTGTGTGTGTGTGTGTGTTTGGTAGGGCTGATGTAACAGAGTATCACAAATAACTTAAACAGCAGGAATTTATTAACTGACAGTTTTGGAGGTTAGAAGTACAAAGTCAAGGCACAGCAGGGTTGGTTCCTTCTGGTGTCTGTGAGGATCTGTTCCAGGCCTTTTGCTGTGGCTTGTAGATGGCTGTCTTCATGCTCACATGGCATTCTCCCTGTGTGCATGTCACTGTGTTCAAATTTCCCCTTTTTATGAAGACACCAGTCATATTGGATTAGGGCCCACCCTAATTACCTCATTTTAACTTGATTACCTCTGTAAATTACCTCTCTTCAAATAAATCACATTCTGAGGTACTGGGTGTTAGGACACCAATATACGAATTTGGGGAGGACACACTCAACCCCTAACTCATTCTCTCTATATATATCTATGTATATATCCCCCTTCGACACACACGAATATAGTTTGATATGTGATATATTTCTATGAAATCTTAAAGGCATTTTATTTTATTTTATTTTTAAGATTTTATTTATTTATTTGACAGAGCAAGAGAGCACAAGCAGGGGAGCAGGAGAAGGAGAGGGAGAAGCAGAATCCCTGCTGAGCAGGGAGCCCGATGTGGGGCTTGATACCAGGACCCTATGATCATGACCTGAGCCAAAGGCAGATGCTTAACCATCTGAGCCACCCAGGCGCCCCTTAAAGGCATTTTAATATGTGAGTCTAAATAACCATTGAGCCATTATTGCATAACATTTCTGGAAAGTAGTGTTTTTGTCCTGTCTTACTATGGCCTCATAAGGTTAACTAGCTTGTCTGCACCAGAAATAATAGAATCACATCTTATCCTTCCCTGTCCCCACTCTTGTTTCCAGATTCCCAGAATCTTGTTTCCTCATTATGATAGAGGAATTATCATATTTTAAAAAGGACTTTTTAAAAAAAGATTTTATTTATTTATTTGTCAGAGAGCGAGCACAAGCAGGGGGGAGCTGCACATAGAGGGAGAAGCAGGCTCCATGCTGAGCAAGGAGCCTGACACAGGACTCAATCCCAGGACTCTGAGATCATGACCTGAGCCAAAGGTAGATGCTTAGCCGACTGAGCCACCCAGGCGTCCCTAAAAATGACTTTTAGAAAAACAAATGGAATCCAAATAGAGCATGGAGTTTAGTAAATACTAATGTATTAATAGCACTTCGTTAATTGTGACAACAAACCAAATAAAGTTGTACCATAGTAAACTAAGGGTTAACAACAGGGAAAACTGGGTAGGTGGTATAATGGGAACTCTTTACTATCTTTGCAACTTTTCTAAATCTAAATCTAGAACTATTCTAAAATAAAAAGGTTATTTTTTTTAAAGATTTTATTTAATTGAGAGAGAGAGAGCGCTCGAGCACAAGCTGGGGGGAGGGGCAGAGGCAGAGGGAGAAGCAGGCTCCCTACTGAGCAGGGAGCCCCAATCCTGCGGATCCCAGGACCCTGGGATCATGACCTGAGCTGAAGGCAGATGCTTAACAGACTGAACCACCCAGGCACCCCAAAAGTTTAATACTAAAAAACCTTTTATAATATAAAATATTTTCTGGTATATATTAAACAGGTTATTAACACTGTATTAAGAATGGTCATATAGTTGTATTGTTTTTATGCCATTGCATGTCTTTCTGTACAGAGGAAGGGATTAGATGTGGCCTCTAGAGGACAGTGTTGGGTCATAGAAAGATTTTCACAATCTGCCCAAGATGAAGATGGATTTACTTATTTTTCTTCTTCCTTTGTAACCACAAGCCCTCTGTTTATTCATTATTCCTCTTTGACTTTAAAAAAAAGTCAAAGAAAATGTATGCCTTCTCTGCTATCCCGATTAGCTGGAGATCTACTTTAATTTGCTGTTTTTGTGCAGTTTTGGCTCTTCACAGATAGATGGGGCAAGAATGATTGTCATTTTCACCCTGGTGTTCAGAGCCCTGGGGGCTCGTGGAAGTCCTGTGGGAGCCTGGGGAGCATCACGGGGCACATACTATGTGTTGTGAATTCTCGCGTGGTAGAGAGAGTGCTAGAGAGGTGGATTCCCTTTGGAAACACTACAAACCATTTGTAGATTGATGAGGATGCTCATAAAATACAGAGGGGTTTTGATCTCTCAAGGTCGAGACTGTTTGCTCCACGGTGATTTGTTGGGGGCGGGGTGGGGGGAGAGGGAAACAGACCAGTGCTCTAGCTTCTGGTGCACATTTCTGGAATAATCAGCATAGAAACTCACCATTTTAATTTAAAAATTATCCCTCCGAAGGTCGTCTCATGGGATTGACATTTTATTTTTAAGAGGCTGCCGGGGTAGGTAGTTATAGAGTGCGACTCAAGCACATCGGAGCCAGGTGAACATGAATTTGCAAAATCTTGCCTGCCTCGAGGCAGCTGAAACAATTGTTCATGTATTGATGGGCTCAGAGATTCTGGAGTATCATTCTGTCATTAGATGGATGACAATTTCTGTTGATAGTGGAATCCGAGGGCTCCACTCATTCTGGGTGAGAGCATCCAGTATAAATACTGGAAAACAGTCATTTGGACAACAGGGTATTCCACTTAGCAGCACCTTACAGATTTCTTATTTTTTGCTCAAAGAATAAATCTGTTAAACGGTTCTCTGTTGAATTGGGATAGATGAGCCTTTTAATGGGATTTTTGAAAGGGAGTGGAAAATTTACAGCTCCTTGTAAATAGCCTGACATGAAAGTTCAGATCAATAGTGTTTTATTCAACCACAACATCAAAGTGAACCTATGGGCAGGAGTCTCTCCTTCTCATCTAACAGTGCTAGATACCAAAATTTCTGTTTCTCAGGTGTAGTGTTCTCTTATTTAGTGGTGGTATAACAAAGTTCCATTAACTATATAGGCATTTAGTAATTATTACAGTGATTTGATATGTACTTTTTCCTTGAGATATGATTGGTCCCCTAACCTGGTCCCTTATCCCATGTTCCTTATCACAGGGAAAAGCATTACTCCATCCCATTTGTGCAAGTCAGAATCCTTGACTCCTCTCTTCTTTCTCATCCTTGTCCATAATAGATGCAGCACCAGGTTCTATTGCCCCCTCCTTTTTTTTTTTAAGATTTATTTATTTTGAGAGAGAGAGAGAGCATGTGCACATGACTGGGTCAAGGGGCAGAGGGAGAAGGAGAGAAAACCTCCGACAGACTCCCTGTTGAGCGTGGAACACCACACGGGGCTCGATCTCACGACCCTGAGATCATGACCTGAGCCGAAACCAAGAGTCGGACACTTAACAGACTGAGCCATCCAGGTGCCCCTGGGTCCTATGGCTTTTACTACTTAAATATTTTTTGAAACCATTCACTTTTCCCCCATGGCCACCACTCTAATCCAAGCTCTATCACAGCTGCTGAGCCCACCACAGAAGCCGCCTTGCCCACAACCAGTGTGATCTTTCACACGCACATCTACCAGACCTTCAGGGATCTCCCGTTGGTCTTAGGATAACAACCAAAGCCACTTTCATGGACCATAAGGCGCTGCAAGGCTGGTGTCTCTCTCTCCCTCTAGCCTCATCTGGAAACATTCTCCTCCTTGCTCCCTATGCCCCCTAGCCTCCTGGCCTCCAAGGCCTCCTCTGCCTGGAGTCTCGTCCCTGATGGCTTCTACTCACACTTTATACATCAGCTCTGGTGTGAGTCCCCATGAATGCCTTTCCTGATCTAGTCTAGAACTTTCCTTTGCTCTACACTCTAATAGACCCAAGCTCCTTCACTTCACTGTGTTTATAATTAGACACTCAGCTCTGTTGTTTTTTGGTTAATCTATGTCTCCACTACCAAATAGAAACTCTATGAGCAGAGACCATGCCCAAGAATGCTCATTATCAAATTCCTAGCCCTTGGCATAGTGAAAAGGAGTTGCTCAATACACTTGTTGAAGTAATATGTGGCTATTTTTTACTGAGTTTAGGTAGAGGAAGAAGAACCCACTGGATACATTCGATTTGAAAAATTTCTTCCAGTGATGACCGAAGTACTACTGGAGAGAAGGTAAGAAGGTACATGCAATTGTTAAGGTAAAGTAATGATTAGAATTACATTAATTTCAAAACGCTTGGCTTTTTTACTTTGTATATTATACTCAACCAAATATTTATCCTGGGATAGCTCCCTCTGACTTTTCACTATACCTCTGAACTGCCAGGTGAAATGTGCTTAGAAATATCAACCACTTTTGTATTAATCTTATAAGCAAAGTGCCACAAAAGTCGTAAATCAACAACATGTTTATTATCTTCTATTGTGAGCTATCAGTGAGAATTCACCCTACCTCTTTTTCTAAGGAACATGTAATGTTACCTTACCACAGTTGGTTTATAGTAGAAATTTTGTTTCCAAATAAGTTGATTTTCACAATGATGAAAAAGGCTAATAGATATCATCACATAGGCCAGTGATTTTGAACTAAGTATCTTCTGTGGGTGTGGAGTGCTTTCAACTTTCAGATCTAGAAATCCAAACATGTTTCAGTGAGGGAAGTATTATTATCCTTGTACCTTAGCAGCTTTTATTTCATTTTATGTGATCATTTATTGTGTAGAGACTGAGCTAAATACTGTGGTATGTGCCCCTTTTACTGCATAATTAGATACAGACCAAGTCCAGAAGATACCCTTCTTCGAGCGTTTGAGGTACGTGAGCTCCAGATTTTATATATATGTATGTGTATGAAAAATTCATCCTGTAGAATTTATTCACCAAACAAAAACTATAATATCTACCCTTTCTTTTCTCTTAGGTGTTAGATCCATCTAAACGTGGATTTCTGACTAAGGAAGAACTGATCAAGTATATGACTGAAGAAGGTAAGAGTGATTTATTGCTTATTTTATAACTGTGACTTATTTAAGTGATAAATAATTTAACAACAATTATGGAAAAATTCTAGGAGACACTTTTAAATCAATCATTCTGGTTGAAAGAGTTATTTACTATTCCTATTATTTTGGTATTGGTGTGGTTTCTGTTTTGTGGGGTTAAGTGGACAAAGGGTAGGTTAAGGGAAGATTGATTGTTGCCTTATAGGATTTTGTAACGAATAAAGATACTTCTGTAAATTGAAGTCACTCCATTCACTTAGAGTATTTTTCAGAATAAAAGCTATGCCACTTGAAAAACGTGAACTGTCAATCATTATAAATCAATGCCTGTTACTAGATTGAAGATTTGAATTGGATTATATAAAAATTCTTTTTTAAACAGCTTTTCAGTTGATGAACTTACAGATAATACAGCCTCCATTGAATGGAATCCACACAAACTTACAGCTTTTTATGCTGGTGGAACTCTATATTTGCTTTGAGCTTGACCTATACACACACACACACACTCGGCCATCGTATCGGCACACCTATCTGTGCCGCCATGTTTCCTTGAGGCACTCTCTCTGCTTCGGCTGATGTGTAAGTTTGTTTTCCCTGAATGTCAGTGGCCTAATGGGCGTTCTCTTGAAACCGTGCTTCCCTTGGTCACCTCCCCAATCTCCCATCCTTTGTTCAGTTCACTGGTTTGCAGATCGAGTCCAGTGTGATTCAGAGTTGTAATCACTTGAGACGGAATCAGAAGTGCAACTAATTGCGAGGAGGGGAGACCAACGCTGCGTCCACCTGCGCAGCTGACTGGACCGCGTCTGCCTGACGCACCACAATGTGGGGCCACAGGCAGCGAGGGCAAGAATGACATGGCTGTCACAGCTGCCACCAACCTCTTGTGACACTGTAACAGATGTCTTAGGAGTTCACATTTTAAGGGGAGTGAATCCTGGATTATACTAGGCAATATGAATTGGCCAGAAAGAGTTCATTGTCATTAATATGGTGACCTGCTATGTGGAGGTGAGGGACACTAAGGGCAGTGAGAGGTACTAAAATCTCCATTTCTCCACGATATTTTACTGGGGGAAAGAAAAGTGACATAAGACAATTCACAATATAAGACAGTGGATTCTCAGGATGGTAGACTTTGTATGGGTGAGTTACTGAGAGCAGGGGTAAAGTCTTATGCGTTCCAGCCCCCACCCAGTCAGTCTCAACAAATGTGTGTTGAATGAATAAATGAAAGAATGAATGAGCAGATGAACGAAGAATGTGTGAAGGGGCCGATGGAGAGAGATGCATCTTGATCACACAGTGTGAACAATAGCGGGGAGGCAGGGGTGAGTGTGATATCACGATATCGCAGAGTCTATGAGGGGAGAGGGCCCAGAGGGTCTTGCTGGCAGACAGCAGGAGACGAATCTGGGGAGATCTGTGGGTTGGCCTGTTGAGGTCTGGGCTCGGGGGTTGGAAGTCACCGTGTGGGCACCGCAGAAGCCTTGGAGGGTGCTGAGCACATGGGCCTCGTGGTGCAGGAGAGATTGTTGGAAGGTCCATCTGGTGCTGGCGGCTCATCAGAGGAGTGGTGAGACCCGTCAGGAGGCTACTGGGGCTTTTGAGAGAGAGCAGGGGGAGGGGCAGAGGGAGAGGGAGAAGCAGACTCCCCACTGAGTAGGGAGCCTGATGCGGGGCTTGTGCGGGGCTTGATCCCATGACCCTGAGATCATGACCTGAGCTGAAATCAAGAGTCAGACACTTAACTGACTGAGCCTCCCAGGTGCCCCTGGTGTCTTCTGTAAGTGGGGTAGCAGTTCTTACCTCTAATGAGGTACCTGGGAGGTTAACTTAGTTAATGTATCCGAAGCACATAGGTCAGTGTCTGGAACACAGTAGCTCTCAATAAATAGTTGTTATTAGTATTCTTTTAAGGACTTCCATGGTGCCCATCAGAATTCATTGGCAGTGGATTTAGCCCAGTATAAGAAAGATTCAGAATCTGTCTCCATAGGCTCTGTAGGCATTCTTGTCTTAGGATGTAGGTATGGTTTCAAGAACTTGACACACTCCCCTTGTTTGATAATCTGTCATCATTGTCATCATGATCACCACTTGAATAATTTCTGTAGTACGAGCTGAATTCCTGAATTTCACCTGTTCATGGTGGCAGGTGGCAAGGTCAGAAGGTAAGTGATCCTCCGGCCTTGGTAACTCATCTGCTCAGAGAAGACTCTTTAGGGGGGAAAGTGGCAATTTTGATGTTTCTGTATTTTTGCTTAATATCAGGACAAAGTTCTTTCTTAAGTACTTGGCAATATTTCCAACATTCATCCTGAGTTTGCTTCTCATCTTGATGAAACCAATGTCCAAGATGATCCTCAGCTACTGTCTGAATCCAGCGAAAGCCACAGATTTTCTTTGCCACTTTTGGTTTCGTTTGACAGCAACACTGGGCCAAACTATAACAAAGAGGGCCATTTAGACACAGTGGATGAATGGCATCTGTCCCTGGGCTCAGCTGGCATCATGAAGTTGGCCGGACCTGGTTAGGGAATATTCAGAGACCTAGTTGTTGCAGTTCGAGCCTCTGCTCTTCAGCAATTTGCATCGAGACCATGTGGTCCCATCCTCACACCCTTGCAAACGTAATGACTAGACTCCCTAGAAAACTGGGACTTCGGGTGAATCCTTAGGCAATCCCAATAGCCTTAATTTAAAGAAACAACCTTGTTCAGGATGTCTTAATGTTCTCCTGCTGTGTTGGCTCAAGTGATCAATTTTATACGTTGCTTGAGCTATGACGTCTGCAAGGTAAAGTAAGCCCCAAATCTGCCTGGGGCACAACAGCACGCTCTTGGAATCTCTGGACTGGCATGATGTGCTGACCCCAGGGCCCCGGGAGGGGAGCTGGCGACCCAGCGGGGGCCTGTGCAGCTGCAGGGCAATGAAACTGGCTGGTGGAAAGAGAAAGAAGACGATCAGAAGATTGTCAGTGATGAATCTCCCTTCTTATCTTTCCCAGGTGAGCCTTTTTCTCAGGAAGAAATGGAAGAAATGCTGTCTGCTGCCATTGACCCAGAATCGAATTCCATTCATTACAAGGACTACATAGCCATGATGGTGGTGGATGACAGCTAGGTTCTGGAGACGTAATTTCTCACCGAAAGGATGACCGTAGAGATGGCCTGTCCCTATTAATTTCACATCTTATAATTTCTACACATGCTAATTAATGCCCAGTGACAACTATTTCACAATACTTTGTTTTTTAAAGATGAACACAAATTTATTTGGTATGTCTGCCTTATGGAATGACCAATGGCTAATTATTTTAAAGCTTATTCTTAAAAACATTTTAACATTATCCGTGGATTGTTGTGGATTTTCTACAATAAAACCCCGGTGACCTTCAAATTCATTACGCTGACAAAATGAAGAATGACCAGAAATGATCCAAGGTTTGGCATAGAAAGATCTTGGGTGACCACAAAGTGAGAACCAGTATCAACGTGGTGAAAGCAACAAACAACAAACCTTCAGCATCTGGATGGGGAGGGGGAGTTGTTGAAAGGAATGTTAATAATTAATCCCTTATGAGTGTCGATTACAAATCTCATTTGAAATGTTAGTAACTTAGTGTAAAAATGTAAGTGTGCTGATCCAGCGTGTTACCACTGTGCGGAGTAGCGAATGGAGTTGAGGTCACTGAATCTAGAGACAAGAAGACTGAATGGAAATTGACAACATAAGGAGTGACCGTTCTCTTCCGGTCTTTAGAATTCTTAGCTATTCTTTTTTTTTTTTTTTAAGATTTTATTTATTTATTTGACAGAGAGATAGAGAGAGAGAACAAGTAGGCAGAGAGGCAGGCAGAGGGAGAGGGAGTAGCAGGCTCCCCGCCGAGCAGGGAGCCCGATGCGGGGCTCGATCCAGGACCCTGGGATCATGACCTGAGCTGAAGGCAGCTGCTTAACCAACTGAGCCACCCAGGCGCCCCTAGAATTCTTAGCTATTCTAATCGAATTTAAATTAAAAAATAAACAAAAAAAGAATTCTTAGCTATTCAGAATAGCTGCTGTGAGAATATTGCTCTGAATACTGAGTAAGAATATTGAGAAATTGTGTGGTATGGAGGAGCTACAGCTGTGGGAAAAGCAGAATAAAGTCTGAACACAAGGAATCATGATGGAGAAAGACCCAGGGACTTACAAGCAAAGGGCAAAATAAGGTGAAGGAAAATGAATAATCTTCCATAACCTATGTTGTTCTGTCATGCATACACAGTGATTTCTATTTGAAGATGCTTCCTCCTCTATTTGAAGATGCTTCTCCCCAACATTTGATGTTGCTTACGATTCTTCCTCCTAGGTATGCAAGACAGGGGGCTGCTACTGGAGAGATGATTTATCACTGTTTGTTCATTGGTTCATGAAACATTTATTGAGTATTATTAGGTACTCTGTTAAGAACTGGAGTCGCGAGGTGGCTCCATCCCTAACCCATGAAGGTCACGGTTTAGTGAGGGAGATCGGCAAGTCAGTCAGCAACCACATTTCAGCCTGGGGCACATTCAGGGTGCTGTTGAAGTGCAAAAGAGGGCAGCTCACTCGGCCTGGTGGGTGAGTTTCTGGGTGAGGAAAGGGTCTAGTGAGCAGAAAGGGCCTCCCAGATCAGGTGACACCTAAGGTAGAGGCGAGTAGTTTACTAAGCTGGTGGCGGGACACAGGGGGTTTCCATAGGGGAGCAGTGAGTACAGACACCCTGGGGGTGTCCTAAAACATGGAGCACTCTGGGAATTGAAGGTAGTGTAGGAGACTTGGGGAACATGATGAGAGATGAAGTTGGGGTGGTAGAGAGGAGCTGTATCATTAAGGATATCGGGTTGGTCATACAGTTAGGTTTTTCGTGTTAGAATTTGGACTTTTTCTGAAGATCACAGAGAAAGATCATTTGTAAATTGTATGGAAAATGATCTTGAAGAGTCGAGACTAGAAGCAGGGAGACTAGGTGGTAAGGGACTTGGTTGGTGGAAGGGGATAGGTTGGGAAAAGCCAAGTGGGTGGACAGCGGGTGGATTATAGAGAGCCATTTATTTAGTGAGAAAGTCAAGAAGCAAGTCAGGGTTGGTGGGCAAAATGGGGAGTTTGGCGGTGGACATCCTGGGATTGGGGACCTAGTGAGACACCCAGGGGAGACATCCAATCAGTTGGGTCAGTAGGAGGAAGATCTAGCAAGAGAGATGGATTGTGGAGGTCTCAGCAATAGTTAAGGAAAAAAGTAGTAGAAGAGTAGTGGAAAGGAAAAGGAAGAGCGTCGACAGCGCAGGGGGGACATCAGCATTTAAGGGCGAGCAGAGGGGGAGGAGCCCACGAGAGGCAAGGGGGAGAGGAACACAAGGAGAAGCCAAGTGCCGCAGAGAGGGCAGGTAAATTGAAGACAGAAAATGTCCACCAGTTGTGGCAGAGTTCACTGGTGGCCTCTGAGGAGCAGATTTGGTGAGTGACAGGGTGCAGGGTTCAGTGGCTGGAGGGCCAGAACACTGTGGGCAAGTGGAGCATGAGGACAGGGCTGGAGAGAGACCGCAAGGCGGAGGGACTGATTTTCAGCAGAGTGGAAGCATGTGGGTTTGTCAGCACAGAAGCTGAAGACCCTAAGGAAGCAGGAGGGGCTGGATCCCAGCGCAAGAAAAGGGTTGCTCTGGGGTGGTTTGGAGCAGCGAACCAGCGTGTACAGCTTCTACCCAATGGCCTCGGTTTCATTGTCGAACGAGGAAGAAGAGAGCGGGTTACGGAGCAGGAGATGAGCAAGAGCCCATGTACGGATTTTGGGGGAATCCTGGAGGATTGTGTTCAGTAACCCAGGCTCAGGAACAAGCACGGAGGGTTGCTGTGTTGACTCAGGGTTCAGGTTTTGGCATCTGGGATGGAAGGAACCGAAGGTCCAGGCAGTTGGGGAGTCACGAGCACGCAGGTGTAGTGATGGTCCGTGGAGCCCTCGTATGAGGGACAGATGCGGGGAGGGGCAGCTACCAGACTGAAAGGGGGCAGGGCCTCAGGACAAGCCTCTACAGGCAGCGACTAGTGTGGCTGGGGGGTGGGGGGTGGGGCGGGGGGCTGGCTCCCCTGCCATTCCCAAGTAATAACCCAGGCTGCTGGAATAGCAAATACAAATGAGGGTGGGGAAGCATCACTTATGGAAGGTGCAGCGATGGGAGGCATTTGTGCCTCCCGTTTCCCAGAATTCTGCCAGGGTTGAAACCCAAGTGGAAGGTGGGCGTGCGGCTCACTTAGCCATGTGTGTGAGATTCACCACCCAACGGGGGTCTGAGCCACATGCCTTTGGGCCAGGGTGGAGCTGCATGGGGAAGGGGGTGTGGTGGCCCCTCAGACCCCTTGCCATCCGGGACACACTGCAGCCGCTGAGGAGGGCGGCAGGGACGTGGAAGGCCCTTTAAGGCAGCGCACCCGGGGACACGTGGTCCAGCAGCAGTGGCCAGCACCAACATGCTGCGGCGAAGCGTGTGCCGGAGCCCGGGGCGGAGAGCCGGGCGTGGACTTGTTTGGAGCATGCTGGCTGCTCGGGGTTCTCTTCTAGAAGCCTGTTGCCCTGCATGACCTCGGTGCCTGAGAAGCACAGCTTGGTGAGTTAGCCCCGATGTCTTCATAATCTTTCTGAGTAGCGGCGCCCTCCCTGAAGGATGCTTCAGGATCAGGTGCTCCCGTCTAGAATTCTCTCGAAAGTTCCGACTGATGTCCTACTTCACAGCCTGTCTCAAGGAAATTCTCTCTTTACTAGTCATAAGAGTTAGCTCTTTGGAATCTGATTCATTTATCTTTAGCACAAATTTGGGTTTTTTTTAAGGCCTCCAAAAAAGAGCAACACAGACTTCCCACAGAAATCTCGTTTTATCTCCTAGTTGCAGAATAAACATGGCATAGTCACGAAGGGAACACGTGTCTTTCTATTCAGACCATTTCGGTTCATATTTTACCTCTCTCTCCCACTTAGCCGCCAGCCTCTGATTTCAACCACAAGGGTATTTTCCTGGCAAGAGGAGTGCTTGGTCTCCTGTGCAGGGTTTGCTTTGCAGGGTTTGCTTGTCCTTATGACCCTTGCCTTCTGCAGAGCCTGCCACTCCCCCCAGCTCCACGGGGCCAGGTGGGGAGATAGCTTCATCCTCGCACCTCCGGGTTGGGGATGCTGCCTGGTTCAGGGCCCCGAGCACGGGCCTGGGAGTCAGGAGGTACCCCCACTCCGATCCCTGTGTTGTCCGTGACTCACTCTGGTCAGGTGCTCCCCTGCCGTGCACCTCACGTGGAAAATAGAGCTCAGCTCTGCTTCTCCCGTTTCCCAAGCATCCAAGTGCCAAGTGCTGAGAGATAAAGAGAATGTCCAAGACTGGTTGGGATTTCCACTGGCAGGATTATTTTCCGTGGCATGGGGTGCATCTACATCTTTCTTCCTTCCTGCTTTCCCTCCTTTGCCTTTTCTAGCTGCTTCCAGGTGGGAGAGTGCCTTGTTCATACAGCCACTTCCTTGTAGAAGGTCAGTGTCCTACGTTGCCTCTTCTGGGCACGTTAAAAAAGCAGAGAGCCCCCTGGTCACATACGCCCCACCTCGTGCTGGGCGGGGCAGCTGCATGTTTCTTCAAGTTGGGTCATTAATCTCGTGCGTCAGGACACCTGGGAGGGGTGTCTGTTAGAAATCTGGACTCCTGGCTCCCATCCAGGCCCTTAGGACAGAATCTCGGGGGCAGTACTATATTGTGAAGTCAAGTGTGGGGTGTGGAGCTAGGCTCTGCCACTGACTGACAAGGCAGAGGGTGCAGTCATTTAATATTGCTGGGTCTCTGCATCTTAATTTGCAAAGTGGAAAGAACACTGACCTTACAGGGCTGGTGGGAAAATCAAATGACGTAATAAAAGTGAAAATTCTTTAAATGGGTATAAGGTACGACACAAATTTTACTTACAGGAAACCAGCCTGGGTATGGAGGAAGTGAAGGAGGAAAAGGAGAAAGGGGGGGGTGGAGAGGGGAGAAGGGAAAGGGGACAGGGGGAGGGTGGGAGAGGGAGAGGCCTGCTGCCTGGGTAGGCAGGTAGGTAATGTATTTAATCTATGGGTTGAGGGTGGAGAGCCACCTAAGGTACAGTAGTAGAGATACCAGGAGATTTGCTATCCTGGTGCTGTTAATTTTAAGCTCTTAAGTTTACTTCTAGATTATAAAATTAGGAGGTTTTAGGCAGTGCTTCATCTTTCTTAAAACTGTAGTAAAAAAAAACAGTGTAAAATGAACCATCTTAATTATTTGTTAAGTGTACAGTTCAGTAGTGCTGAGTATGTTCTTGTGAAATAGATCTCCAGAACCTTTTCATCTTGCAAATCTGAAATTTTATACCCATTAGACAATGCCCCTTTCCCCCCTGCCACTAGCAAATGCTATTCTACTTTGTTTCTATGAGTTTGATGACTGTGAGTTAGATACTGTGTGTAAAATGAATCATACAGTATTTGTCTCTTTGCGACTGGCTTATTTCACTCAGCATAATGTCCTCAAGGGTCATCCATGTTGTAGCAGGTGTCAGGATTTCCTTCCTTTTAAAGGCTGAATAATACTCCATCATACATACATACCACATTTTGTTCATTCATCAATCGGGGGGGCATTTGAATTGCTTTTACTTCATGGGGTGCCTGGGGTGGCTCAGTCGGTTAAGCGTCCGACTCTTGGTTTCAGCTTAGGTCATGATCTCAGGGTGGTGAGATCGAGCCCCGCGTGTGGAGCCCCAGATCGGTCTCTGTGCTCAGCAGGGAGTTAGTTTGCTTGAAGATTCTCTCCCTCTGCCCCTCCCCCAACTTGTGCTCTCTCTCTCTCTCTCTCTCTCTCTCTCTCAAATAAATAAATAAAATCTTTAAAAAAAAAAGTGGTAGGAGTAAATATCTGGGTCCTGTCCAAAGGCGGCTGTGCAGAAATAGGCACCACATTTGAATTGCTTTCACTTCTTGGCTCTGGTGAATAAGGCTGCTATGAACATGAGTGTACATCTCTCTCTCGGAGACCCTGCTTTCAATTATTTTGGTTAAATACCCAGAAGTGGGATTGCTGGATCTTTCTTCTTTTTTAAAAATTTGCTGGCAGCCATAGTGCCTTTTTTTTTAGTGCTTTTAAAGTAGCATAAATTATTCACCTCACCTCCTGGAGAAAACTCTCATTCATTTGAGGAAACAGTGTTTTATTTTGATCAAAAAAATTCATGAAGTTGAAAATTTGGGGCCAACTCCAGTTCTTTGGAGAAGGAGATAGGATAAAATAGCTCATTCTGAAAATGCGGACATAGTTTTATAGGCGTGGCTGTGCAGATGATCCTTCCCTAGTTGTCGTCAGCTGCTCCATACGAAATCTTGACAGAGGCGTCTAACCATTTATCACTAAGTTTATGCAATTTATGAAAGTATGGATTATTACCTGACTTTAAGTGTACCTCAAAAAATTCAGGGTTTGTTTTTGTGTTCTGAATGCTTAGTTTTTATTTTTATTTATTTTTTAAAAGATTGTATTTATTTGAGAGAGAGAGCAGGGGAGGGGTGGAAGGAGAGGGAGAAGCAGACTCCCCGCAGAGCAGGGAGCCTGATGCGGGCTTGGCTCCATCCCAGAACCCTGGGATCAATCATGACCTGAGCCGAAGGCAGACGCTTAACCGACTGAGCCTCCCAGGGTCTCCTGGACATGCTCAGTTTTTAAATATCTTGCCGGCTGTGGTGGCTCCATTCGGAGCCCGGTTACCCGCTCAAGACATGATATCCCCGGGGGCAAAGTTCATTGTTAGTGAGAATGAAGGTAAATTGATTTGCCGGCTGGTCTTCTTGATAATTCACAATCTTTTTTAGTTGCTTTTCACGAAATCAGATGAGACTTGTCACTTAGCTGACACACAGCTCTGCCATTTTCTTGGTGCTCACTTCTGCTAACAGGGCCAGTGCTATTTTCAATTCCAGGCCACTTTGTGGGAAACTTTTTAAGCCTCTTATCAGTTTAGGGAGGCTAGT